AAAAAAAAAAAAAAAAGACAAGCATCGATCAGTCCCGATATCCGGATCAGCAATCCTTCATCCTTCCCATCCAGCACCCAGCAGCTGCCCAGGACCAACAGTATAATTGTGATGTTGTAGGCAGTGTATGTGCGTACTTGGCTCGGTTCGAGTTGCATATCTCCCTCCCACCTTTGGTCCGAGTTCATCCATCTCAACTACAACGTCTACAACGTAACTAGTGGAAAGTAGGCCGCGTGCCATAACCGGACACCTGACCAGCTCGGCCTATCAAGACCGACAACAGTGACAATATCTTGATTGTCTGTACATCTGTCTGTTGGACCCTGTCGCCCAATGTCACCCCTTCTTTCATCAATACCTATCTACCTCCTCCTAGCTTCAGGTTCCTCACTGCGCACGCATTGAAACACCCTCAAGCCACGCCAGGCCTACCAAACTACTACGACACGGACGGCACGGCAGAGCAGAGCAGATTGGCGGTAATAAACTTGGTAGTAACAACCAAGTTTCCTGCTGTAACCACAACGACCCCTCGAAGCCGGACTGGAGCCACTGCACGACCATACCTACCTAGCATTCCACCAACGCCGCCAGCACGGCACCACCTGGCAGCAAAGCAATATTGAGAGTCTGAATGTGGGGACTTTCGGGGGCTCAGTTCAAGATTCCCATCTGTCATCCCAGAAATCCCATCCTTCTCGTTAAGGGCACCATTTCCCCCCAGGTCCCAGGTCATCATCACACGCTCACACCCCCGCTACCATCCTTACCGGGCTTGTTCATTTTTCTGATCGACAACACCCTTTTCCTTTTTCTTTTGTCTGCCACTGCCCCGCGGTTTTTGAACGTACAAAAGAGACTTCGTCTTATTCCTCGCAGCACTTCGCCTTTTACCATCAGTCCTGAATCCAGTCCACAAAAGCACCGACCAACATTGGAAGTCCTCCACTACACAACGCCGCCATCAAAAGCAAGGTGACTGGGTCTGGATTATCGCCCCGTACGCCATCTTCTAAACACGGCGCGACACGGCAGTCAGATGCAGAAAACAAGACAGCAATATCGCATGGGGGACTAACCTAACCGACGTTAACGAATTGCGCGCTTGTGTTGCTGTTAGTAGCCCATCCAAAGCGGGCTCCTTCTTCAGCTCCTCCACCGCCGAAAAGTCAGGAACCACGCAGCAGCAGCACGAGCAGCAGCGGCAACATTGAACAGCAGCAGCCGCCAATACTTCCTTCCCCCTCCCCCCCCTTTCGCGAAAAAAAAAACGAAAAAAAGAAGACGGTGGTTTTCTTCGATGCGCCGCCACCGTCTACACCTGCAATTGTCAGATTGCCGCCATCTCGCCGCCTCACCACTACTACCTACACTACTACAACCACCAGAACAATGTCTCACGGACAGCCTCCACCCGGATCCAGCATGTATGGCTTTGGAGCCATGGGCATGGGATCCGGTATGGGACCCGGCATGGGAACTGGCATGGGAACCGGCATGTCAGCCTCGCAGGTGCGCAGCAAGCAGCAGCAAGCAGCAGCAAGCAGCATTTTTCTTGTATTTCCCTTGATGCTTTTACATATGCTGGACGAAAATGAACTTTCAAGCTGACGATTGGCCGATTGATCGGCCTTCAAGCTGCAGATGAGTTCCGACCCACAGGACATGATGTCGCTTCTGGACACTTCGGTGTTCTCTGGGTTTGACGGAATGTCGATGAGTCTCAATGTCGGCGATTCCATGTCAACCCCCTTCACCCCGGTCTCGGTCCAGCCACCCCTCCCTGCGTTACCTGCAGGGCCAAGTCACGTTGGTTTGCACGGCGGTCACGGGCCCCCCGATCAGCTATTTTCCCCCGACGACGTTATTGCGACCAGCATGCCCAGCGCCGGACCGATGATCGCCACGCCCACCACCACCACCTCCGGTCCTTCGGCCGGCCCTTCGTCGGGCGGCGGAAGCACCCTGACCGAATTCACGAAGCGCCGCAACTGGCCCGCCAAGGTTGTCGAAGAGCTCCAGGACTGGGAGCACATTCTGGATGCCAACGGCCGGATAAAGCATGTCTCGCCCAGCGTGGAGCCCCTGACCGGCTATAAGCCGCCCGAAATCATTGACTTATTCCTTCGGGACCTGATCCACCCGGATGACGTCGGGGTCTTCACAGCCGAGATGAACGAAGCCATCGCGACGGGATCCCCATTGCGACTATTCTACCGATTCCGGAAAAAGGATGGAAACTGGACCATTTTCGAGACTGTCGGCCATGCGCACATCGCCGCCGCCAAGTTTGCACCCAATCCGCAGAACCAGTCGCCTTTCTGCCAGGCTGTTTTCATGATGGCTCGGCCCTACCCAACCAAGAACGCCGGTCTGTTGGATTCCTTCCTGGAGCACAAGATCGAGAACGAGAGACTGAAGCGCAGGATTGCCGAGCTGCGCAGAGAGGAGCAGGAGGAGCAAGAAGAGTCGCAGAGGACATGGCGGATGAGCCAAGAGGGACGATCTGATGTTACGCCGTCGGACGATACCACGACCCAGCTGGGAATGACGCCTTTCTACATTCCCATGAATGCTCAAGCCGACGTTTTGATGCCGCCACCCAGCCAGCCGGCGTCGTCGCTTAACATTGCGCTGACGCGGGAGAACCTGGAGGGCATTGCGGGAAGCCGGCCCGATTCTATACGCGAAAAGATGTTACGTTATGAGGGTAATCACGCCGACACGATTGAAATGCTTACCGGGCTGAAGTATCAGGAGGGTGAAAGAAGTCATGGTATCACAACGGGCAACGCCAGCCCGACGCTCATTAAGGGCGATGCGGGAATTGCGATTCCACTAGACCGAGATCCCCGGACGGGAGAGAAGAAGAAGAAGATGAAGGTTGCAGAGGAATACGTGTGCACCGATTGCGGTAATTATTCCCTCCCCTCGACCCCTCCCACCCAAAATAGCTTCTTCATGACTTTCCGTTGCTGACAAGGATGCTGAAACAGGTACGCTCGATTCCCCCGAATGGCGAAAAGGCCCCAGTGGACCCAAGACACTCTGCAATGCATGCGGTCTGCGGTGGGCAAAGAAAGAGAAGAAGAAGAACGCCAACGGTAACAACAACGGCGGAGGTATGGGGGGTCACAATGACAACCATACACCCATGGGTGATAATATGGGATAAACGATTGGAAGACGCGCAATGATACCGACACGAATTTCCAGCGGCCACACATACGCGACGATCGGAATTCGAAACCACTCTCAACATAATCTCGACATTTATCAATATCCCGCATCGCGACAAACGGCCGGCGCATCTGCCCTTCAGACTGAGAAAACCAAAAATGACCAAGTTTATTATAGAATGAAGAATGGGAACTACGACGAAGCGGGGGTAGACATCCTATCGGGCTTTCCTTGCTGTGTGTGTTTGGAAGGAAGGGAGGGGAGACTAGACAAGAAAAAGGTGCGCCGGGGCGCGGATGCATGAGGTGAAGGGGACGGATGGGAACCAAAGAAGCAGAACGGCAGCGATTCCGTGCTGTCTGGTTCGCGGAGCAGTCCTTGACACCATGCGCAGTTTAGCTTTGTGGGCCGTCCCGGGACGTGCCCTAGGAAGAGCCGGAGGTGCATGGTACGATGAGCAGCACATCGGGAAAAAAAAAACCGGCATCGTTTCGAGATGCACCTTTTTTTCTTTTTGGATGGATTATCACCGGGAATCGGTCGGTTTTGGTCTGGCTTCGATGGGGAGAGGGAGAAAGGAATTGTTCACGCCGCCAATTTGCCGGCGAGTGAGTTTTTTACCGAGTCAAAGCGATGAAGAAGAAACGGAAAGGGCGCACACGAGAGAAACCTAAGGGGTTACTATACCACCATTGTTAAACGTGTGCATTTGAATGATGATGATGAGCTACCGCTGCCACACCTGCTGGTACTAAGGTCTTTTGGTTATCGCACAATCCGGCTGCTATAATGGCAATGCCAACGGTATAATGTTACAGTGATGGTGACTGATTGCGCTGCCCATTCTTTCGAACGAGCGCTGTTGTTCAGCAACTCGGCCTAGCTCCCTAGGTACCGGTTCTCTTGGGCTCCCATCCTTGAGGTACGCTGCACTTGACGTCTGACATGGAGAAATCCATACCTAGAAACTCCTCGATGGCCAGATGATGGGACTTTACCAACAGGGATAACGGAGATCAAGAGAGAGAGAAAAAAATATCATACATCATCCTAGGAGGAATACCAAGTTCCCAGCATTATTAATAAGCTTCGAGTTATTTACGGAGGAGCAGCAAAGCACACGACGGACGGTAAGCAAGCGAGCAAAAAGACGAAGCAGAAGACGGGCAACGAGGAACTGATCCAGCGAGCCCCAGGGCGATGATACGTCCGAGATCCACACAACGTCTTTGCCCATACTTTATCGATTTTCGCCCTGCGAGTCTGCGACTAGCCGACTGGCACTCGTTCCCGTCCAAAGGAAGGGGGATGCAACCCACCAATGGAGGTTGATTCAACCCGAGGGTTGATGCTCGTTTGTTGGTGTTCCACGGAACCACGAGCGATACCAGTTCTAGCGTCACTTACGTATCACGGTGGCTTGACTTGTGTGTTGGAGTCATCTCAAATGGTCATCAAGACTCAAGAAGACTCAAGAAGAGGAGGGATGGGACAGCCAAACGGAAAGGCTGGCTGGCGACCGGGACGAAAAGCTGCATAAAAGGTTTAGGTTCAAGCATGGCGTGGCGTAGACCCTGCTTGAACTTTGAAGATTGCCCATGCCCAACTTGAACTGACGAACAACTTTGAGGGTCGAGGGAGGTTGGGTACCTGCTTAACCGCATCCTGAGGTCCTGAGACTCTGGGAAGGGATCCATGAGCATGAGATGGTCCCCTCGATAGTCGAACTTCCCAGAGACCAAAAGAGGGGGTTTCAGGTTCAGCTTCCCTCTTCCCAGCGGCCCAGCGTCCAGTGCCCAGCGCCCAGACTCACCCGCACCCAGCCGAACCATCAGCGGTCCCGCCATGCCGCGTACCGCCCAGCTTCTTGGACGACTTGGACCGACGAACGGCTCTCCTCCTATCGATAAGCGCGATAAGGGGAGGATAACCTCAAGCGATTGCACCGCCCACCTCATCCATGGTGCATACCCCGCAGCAACGTCATTTGCCTTGGGTTCGTGTTAGAGCTACCGAGCTCATCAGGTCAGGTCGGCCAGGTACCTTTTGAATCCCTACTATAGCCCAGAACCAGAGAGCCCGAGGGGTAAAAGATCAGACAAGAAAAGAACCGTTTGGCCTTTTTTTTGGGCCGGTCAGGAATATGGATGATTCGAGTTCCAGTTCGAGTTGATCCGAAGATTGGCGGCGGCGGCGGGCGGACGGACGGACAGACTGGCATGGAGTTTGTACAGCCTGGGGCAGCCGGCCGCCCCAACAACAGTCCAAGTTGCAGTTGGGTTGACATGGACGGAAATTGATGTCTTCTTGCGTTGACACCTTACCTTACCTCATTGCTTCCGCTTAAGGTTAGGTACCGGTTACGTACAGCCAGCAGCCAGCAGCCAGGAAGCAGGTCCAAGTCCCCTTCTTTCTTCAGCTCTAGGTTCTCCACCTTTTTCCCAACGTCTACATCCGTCTTGACTTGTCTTGCATTTCCTGCCAGGCACACACACACTTCTGCATCAACATCAACCAAACAAGGAGCTATCTTACCTACCTACCTATCTTGAACCAGGCAAGATATAACACATAACACGAAAATCAGACACGATGGACAGATTCATCAGCAAGGTCGTTGACAAGGTCACTGGCGATGACGATGACGACAAGAAGCAGACCACCAGCCAAGGTAAAGTTCCCAGCTGCCATCCTTCCTTCTCCTTGGAACCTAACCTGACCTGACCTGCGCGCGCGCGGCGACATGATGGGGACGACATGAGGGGACATGATAGCTAACTTATGCGCTTCCTCTTAATTCACAGGCAACCAGTTCTCAGGCCAACAATACACCGGCGGCGGACACCAGCAGTACTCTGGCGGCCAATTCCCGTCCGGCGGCGGTGACTGTACGTTGATCCAGTTTCACTACGATCTGAACCATATGAATGTGCTCGCTTTCTAACATGCGCATATTATATTACAGTTTCACACGGCGGCGCCTATCCCGCTGGCGGCGGTTACGCGTTCGAGAAGGACGATGACTTCCGCGGCGCCGCCAACCACGCGGCCAACCACGCCGAGGAGGATGAGAGTTTCTTCTCGACCATCCTGAACAGCCTCAGCTCCAAGAAGCAGCAGGTTGCTGAGGAAGATATTGATGAGGATGGTTAGTCTTACATATTCTCTCAGTTACCCCTTCGCGTGCGCGCGCGCGTTACTCTTCCACCAGTCCATGCATGACCCAAAATCCAATCCAACCCAATCCATCTTCGGCGCTCATCATATCATGCATGTCATGTATCGTCGCTAATCAACCATTTACCTCCCAAAACAGAAGCAGTCCGCGCCCACAAAACCTTCTACTCCTCCTCCGCCTTCTCTCCCTCCTCCGAGACGCCCGAGGCGACCTCCTCGGGAATGGGCAGTGCTGCGGCCCTGCAAGCCCTGAAGCTGTTCACCTCGGGCTCCTTCTCGAGTTCGCAGTCGCAGTCGCAGAGCGCCTTCATCGGCCTGGCCATGTCGCAGGCCTCCAAGCTGTTTGACCAGCAGGCGTCGGCCGGCAAGGTGTCGGAGGGCACGGACAAGCAGAGCGTGGTGATGAAGGCGGGCGAGATGGCGCTCAAGATGTACCTCAAGAGCCAGGGTACTTCGCAGACGAGCTCGTCGCACACGCAGACCCAGGAGAGCTCGAGCGGGCTTGGTGGGCTGTTGAACATTGCTGGCAAGTACTTGAAGTAAAGCGAGCGGGTTGGAATGTCTTCTCTCTCTTAGGGAAGGGGGGCCTGATGGTCCATCAGGGGCAAGCGGTTGGGGTGTAAGGAAATGATCTCATGAAAAAAACGAAGGGATGATGAAGTGATGAATACGACATGACTATTTACGGTTGCGAAAATTGAAAGGTCCCACGATTGCGCCCATGAATGCACTTGATGAAGTCTAATAAGAAGGTAGGTACGTGTAATAGGAAGTACGTGAAGTCTAATGTCTGTCCAAGTATCGCTACTGAATGGGACTCCGTGTTCTAGGGAAAGCGGCAAAAGGGAATATCAGGGTATAACAGGAAACTGGTCTAAATCATACAAGCCACCTTTTATCAAAACCACGCTTTATACACGCACTGTCACAGTCGAGCCTATATATCCAAAAGTCTCCTTACCACTCCTGAACCTCGCCGGCCTCAGGCTTCTGCATGCGAACGACCTTGTCGCAGTTGAGGATGCACTTGGGGTCAAGGGCCAGCTTGATCTGTTTGTGAAAAAAGGATGGTTAGCACTTCATTTGCGCCGTCGAACTTGGAAAGCGTGGAGTAGTGGGTGACATCAGCTTACCTTTCTCATGGTATCAACCGTAGTCTCACCCAGCTCGTGGGGGAGATAATCACGCTTGACGAGACCGACACCGTGCTCACCAGTAACGGTGCCCTCCATCTCCACCGCGCGCTTCACCATACGGTGGACGCAGTCCTCAGCCAGCTTTCTCTCCCGGTCATTGTAAAGCAGAAGAATATGGAAGTTGCCATCGCCGACGTGGCCGACAATGGAGCTCTTCAGCCCACTCTTCTTCAGGTCGTCCTTGGTCAGCTCAATGATGTCGGGAAGCCTGCTCATGGGCACGGCAACATCGCCGGTCCAGAGGTGGTCGTCGGGCTTCTTGATGCTGAAGGTACTCCACAGAGCCTCCTTGCGCGCGCTCCAGAGCTCGGCCTGCTCGTCGTTGTTCTTGGCAAACTCGAAGGACTGGCCGCCCGTCTGCTTGGAGAGCTGCTGCACGATGGCGACCTGCTCCTTGACGCCGCTGGGGGTGCCGCTGAACTTGAAGAAGATGGTGGGCGCCTCCTTCCACCGCCGCGTGGTGACGCCGGCCTGGTTGATGATGCGCATCTGGTCGTCATCGAGGATCTCGACAGCGGCGACGGGTACACCGTTGGCGACGACGGAGGCGACGCACGAAGCGGCCTCGCGGATGGACTTGAAGCTGGCGACGGCGACGGACTCGGAGGCGGGCTTGACGGTGAGCTTGAGGGTGGCTTCAGTGACGAGACCGAGGGTGCCCTCGGAACCGATGAAGAGCTTGGTCAGGTCGTAGCCGGCGGATGACTTGCGGGGGCGCTGGCGGGTCTTGATGACGGTGCCGTCAGCGAGGACGACGGTCAGGGACAGAACCCACTCGCGCATGGTGCCGTAGCGGTAGGCGTTGGTGCCGCTGCAGCCGGTGCCGATCATGCCGCCGATCTGGGCGCCCGGGCCCGGGTCCGGAGGGAAGAAAAGGTTGTCCTTGGCCAGGTCCTCGTTGAGGTCCTGCCAGCCGACGGCGGGCTGGACGACCACGTCGAGATCCTCCTTGTGCAGAGCCAGAACCTTGTTCATGCGGCGGAAGTCGACGCAGATGCCGCCGCGGGTCGGGGTGAAGTGGCCCTCGAGCGAGGTACCGCCGCTGTAGCCGACAACGGGGATGGCGCGGGAGTGGCACACCTTCATGATCTCGGACACCTCCTCGGTGCTGGAGGGGTAGACGATGCAGAAGGGCTTGTGGGAGGCATCGGACTGGTGGGAGGACCAATCCGAGTTGGAGTGCTCCTCAAGATCGTAGCCGGCGGTGCTGACATTCTCTTCGCCGACAATCTTCGCAAAGTCGGCCCAGGCAGCCTCAAGGTTGGCCTTGCCGGTGTCGTGTCTTGGGGGAGTGGTCTTGGCGAGAGGGAGGGTAGAATCAGGGGAGATGTCGCCCCTGGGATACTGGGTGCCCACGAGCCAGCCCAGACCGGCCGTGAGGATGAGGACTGCACACGCATTTCGTATGGTTAGCCTGGAGCTCACTGGCGTATCAAAAAAGAGCTTCTGACGGGGGACTTCATACGGCCAGTGAGGGAGAAGTTGTTCCAGCCAGCACGCGAATCGCGGTAGGCGGCCATGCGAATGCGCTCGGCCTGCTCACGCTCCAGGCGCTGCGTGACACTTTCGGTCAACTGGCCCTTGAAGCTGTTCTTGACATTGTTGTTGGAAGAGTATGACCGAGCAGACCGGCTGCCGGTAAGGGAGACTTTGGACCTGACGGCGACCCGGCCGAGGCCTTTGGAAGCCCTGCTCGCGAGCTGCGACATTGTTGTAGCTGCCGGAGTTGTACAAGCTATAGATGCAAGGTGAGAGTTGGAGAAGCTCTGCAGTCTTTAGGAATAAGTTTAGAAAAATGATGGGATGGGGTTGTGTATCTAATGATGTGCTTAGATGTGAACGGCCCGCGGGTATTACCTTGGCGACGGCTGCTGACTGGCTTGGCGGCGGGGGGTCGGCTGGGGCAGATGAGGAGAAAATGGAGAAGGGTGCTCCAATTCTGAGCCGTAAATGCAGCGGGCTCGTGGGTGTTCGTGAGGGAAGGCCCAAACTCCTTGCCCCCACAGTGGCCGACACCGGGATCCGTATCGGAGAACAACACCGAGCAGCAGGGACAACCTCGCAAGTCCCGGCTGAATAGGTACCTGGCACCTTCAGGGCTGGCAGGTCTTCTCCACCGAGAGCTTCCTCGTCTTCGCTCTTTCTTCGGCCGTTTCGGTTGTGCAGTTGCCGGACTCCATGGGGTCCATCACTCCAGCCTGCTTTCTTTACAGACTCAACCGTGAATATCCTCACATATCCACCGGTATCCGCGTGTGCTGGTTCGTGCGGCTGGCCGGTCATGCTCTCAGCGGTCGTGTTGTCAGTCGTCACCCGGATGGTCGTCAGTCCAGATGCGCATCATGGCGCGACTTTGCTGTGATCAACACGTCCGATGTGACATCGCTCCGGAGCCTCCAGCAGCAGACATCTGCAAAGACCTTTAAGCTTAATCCACTCAAACTTCTTCCATGGAACATTCGACTAGCCGATCGTCTTCAACACGAGAGGCAAGAGAGGAGAAAGACGTTAAAAAGGCCGGAAGAAGCTCCGATGCCGGCGTCGCGGGCCCCGATCCGGTCCCGAGAGACGACGACCTTCAGAAAGTTTCAGCCCGGGCCGTCCCGGTAGACGTCTTCCCACTCGAGTTATTACCCGGCCGGTATATCCTGGTCGCCAATGGGTCGGCCATAGACAGCAAGTCGTCGGATACGAAGACAAGCAGGACGGCTTCGCACATGAAACTACCATTAGCTCGGTTGCCCACGAACTTTCATCGAGAAGCGTCGGTGAGTGTCTATTATATCCCATTGGCCAGTTGTTATTTATATCAAAACGATCCCCAAAGTGGTATCAAGCAAATGTTCCTCGAACAAACTCCCAGAGACGGGCTGTTGTCATCATGGCTGAGGAAAGAAGACTAGGGGTGCTTCGAGATTGATCCTCAAAACGTGCAATACACATAAACAGTCATGGTCCTATCTATAGTACATCTTCTACACCCAAGTTTTTCAAGAAAAAACCACATCCATATAGTCTAAATAGCTTTCTCACCAAACTTACCCTAAACCTTCACCGTCCCCCTCGCAACCCCCAAAACGTCCACCCACTCCCTCGGCCTCTGCCTGCCGCCCTCATACGCCTCAGCCAGATACCTCTCCATATCCCTCGCAAACGCCAACAACCTCTCTTCCTCTCCCCACTCCGCCATCGCCATCACGCCCACGGGCAACTTGCCCTCTCCCTGCTGCGCCTCCACATACCCTCCGGGGCACGTCACCGCCGGACACCCGCTGGTGTTCGCATACCACACGTACGTCATATTCCTGATACTCCTGTTTCCATCGCTGCACCCGTACGTTTCGTCGCCCGGCATGATCGGCCACCCGGCCATGGGCGTGGTGGGCGACACGATCAGCAGGCCCGGGTACTGCTCGTACAGGTGGGCGAGATGCTGCATGATCACCTGGCGCAGCTGGTTGTAGCGGAGGTAGTCGGCGGCGGGCGTCTGAGCGCCCATGGACACCAAGATACGGTTGGGGTAGTTGAGCGGCTTGAGGTAGTCGTCCGGGTTGGTCACGCGGTTGCGGGCGTCGGCGGCCGCCTCGGTCAGACAAGTGGCGGCGTGGGCGAGCTGGCCTTCGCGCAGGTAGGGCAGCTTGATGGTGACGAGCTCGTACTGGCTGCCGAAGGAAGGGCTGCTGCAGAGGGTCTCGATAGCGCGGTTGAAGGTGGTGCGGACGTCGGCGTCGGCGAGGGCGATCCATTCCGGGCAGAGGCCGAGGTATTTCTTGGCTATGGGGGACGGCGGGATGGATGGGACGAGAGAGGACTGGGCCGGGTCCGAAGGGTTGGGTTGGGCCATGATTCGGTAGGTGATGGTCAGGTCGGACGGGTTGGAGCACATGGGTCCGACAACGCACATGGAGGAGTTGCGGCTGACGACTCGGTTGTGGGTGGGCTTGAGGCCGTAAACGCCGCAGAAGGCGGGAGGGATGCGCATGCTGCCGCCTACGTTCGGGTTGGGTTAGTAAGACTGGCTGCTTCTTTGATGGGAGGTTTCATGACAATAGAGGTAAGGTAGTAGAAGTAGAGATCGTCGAACTTACCGGCATCGGTGCCGATAGCGATAGGCACAAGACCAGCGCTGAGGGCAGATCCAGCACCAGATGACGAGCCACCGGGGAAGTACTTGGTGTTGTACCAGTTCGTAGCCGTTCCCGTAGTAGGGTTGCAACCCGTCGTGTCTGTCCCAATACGTTATTGTCAGTTTCCTCCTTTATAACCCCTCAACTTTTCTCTCTGCTCTGTCACTTCATGCAGCAACAAAAAGCCACTATTCATCGGGTCATTGATCACTCACCCATTCCAATCTCATGCTGATTCATCTTGCCCACCATAATCGCTCCCTGCTCCCTCAACTTCTTCGCCGGCCAGACCGTCTCCGTCGCCGGCTTCGTGAAATACTCAAACCTCTCATTGACCTTCATGCCCATGGTCGACACATAACCCTCCACCTCTGTATCATCCTTCACACCAAACGGCACGCCATCCAGGATGCCCAACGGCCTACCGGCTTGCCAACGCTCCGTCGAGGCTTTTGCCTCCGCCAGCACCTCGTCCACCTTGGACTGTATGAAGGCCACGGCGTACTTGGACTCAGGCTTGATGTCGCGCCGGATCAAAGGCAGGAGCGCGTCGATGACCTGAAGCGGGGTGAGGGACCCGGAGGCGTAGGCAGCGTGGTAGTCGGCTATGGAGTTGAAGCGGCCCGGGATGGTGGCGGGAGGGGTGGTGAGGGAGGGGTCGAAGTTTAAAAGTGATTGAGTGGCGGAGGGATCGGATGATAAGGGGATGACGTTGGGCTGTTTAAGGTGTGTCAGTCTCATTTCATTGAAGACAGACAACCCTCCGATAATGATGAGGGATGGGAGTAGCAGTAGTAGGTAAGCTCAGAAAACACTAATTTACCTGCACCCTCCATTGTTCACCATTTAACTCGGACATAGACCTGGCCTGCCCGAATTTGGCGTTGGTCCACATGAACTTTTGAAGCCATTGCGAATTTGAAAGGCTACATATGGTCAAAAATGAAGTGTCAGTGAGTGAGTGCTCTGCATCTTTGTCCTTGTTGTCGTCAAAGACATGAAAGGACACGGAGGGAGTGGACTGACAGCATAGAAGCAGCTACCAACGGCAGTCCGCGCATGGGAGGATTGTGGTCCACCTCGGGCTTGAAATCCAAGACATGAGCGGGAGCCTCCCTGGCCCCCGGGTGATTGAGGAATTTCTTGGGTGAAGCCATCGCGATATTGGAGATGGTCACTGTGGTGGGTGCCCGCTTGGAGTTGAAAGGAAGAGTACCTAGGGTGGTGCTCTCGGTAGTGTCTGCGTGTGGTGGGGTGACGATACTGAACCAGGAAGAGAACTGATATGAGATGAACCGGCTCAGTTCACGTCGTCATCGATCACCGAGTCTGATCTCTGGTGTCTGTGATCCAATTGAAGAGTTATGGATAATGGATTTTGAATTTGCCTCCCCCAAACAAGGGCAAAAAGAACAGATGGTTAGCTAGTGTACAGAATCTTACTGTGGTAAGCTTTGTCGTTACTAAAACCGGCGACCCATCTTCACCAATTAACGAAGCTTCGCGATACGATTGGTTTGTTCACCTCTCGAATTTGCTGAGGGGTTGCTATCCAGCACTAACAGTGGAGAGGTCGTGGTACATGTGAGGCTGGTTGCATATTTCGGCAAGCAGACCACAAAAGTACTTGGCGCCTGTTAGGAATCATTCGATATCGATTGAGCGAGGTGGTAGGTGAATAATGAACGCTGCCGCATTGGGGCGGTGCCGAGGCTATAAAACCAAGCAGGTAATAGGCCCGAGGCTCGCTTTGAGGTCGTATTTTGTTAGTGGGTAGTGGACGGGCAGCATGGAGCATTCGGACTGACCGCGCAACACAAGGCATAATCATGATACTTTTCATGTTCAAGGACATGCGTGCAGAAGATGGAGTGCTGGAAGTTCCCCTTCTGCGATTCTCTACTGTATATCAGAGTCGGGTCACACGACGCAAGGTACCGTCTAAACATAGGAAGCCATTTGAACATCGAGCCTGTATCGTAGCATGAGCACCCAATCTGGTTGTATCCCGTCGTAAGATCAATGTGACGGACTGCGCAGCCGTTACAAGCAATAGCGCTTATCTCAAAGCAATGCAACCCATCCTTTCCGTACTTCATCCACTTACAACCTCTAACCGAAACCAAAGGGATGGGTTTTTGGTATCTTACCCAGCCCCCACCTCAAGACGACATCATCACATTACACCAAGATCACGATTGGCAAGAAACAATTGTAGTGTATGTTGTTTAGATTTTACTGTATTGTTTGTATGTGTCTGTCCTTTGACTGATTGCCAGTCGATACTTGTAAAAGTATCCAGCTCTCTACTGGTAAGAGCTGAGGATCTAGACTATCTGAGGAGCAGCTGATGCTCAATCCGTCGCCATGCTTCTCTAAATACGCATTGCGCGGTAAAATCAAACGCTGGGAAGTCCTGCTGAGTGCAGTCCATGATCCAGCTCCCAATCGCCATTCCATGCAAAATCCTTTCTATGCCCTATCCAGTGTCATAACAGGCATTTTCCTCGCTTTCTCGGAGCGTTGCTCCGTCGAGGGCCTTTCATCATAATGAGTGTAAGAAAAGTAAAGAGGAAAAAAACCCGCAACCGGATGCAAAAACTCCGGTGTATGTGCAAAATAATACCAAAACGCCTGTCGCTGCTCACTTCCCTGTCCAAGCGGGAAGGGCTAGGGTACAAAGACCCGTTGATGCATGCTGATGATGAAAACAAATGACGCCCGCTGCGCCGCCTTGTGCAAAGAAAAAGTTGCCAGCCCAATGTATGTTCACTGATGAAAAAATATATCGCTTAATGTGATGCTGAGTGCTGATGATTTCGTGACTCGTGGACGACCTGTGGCGCCCATCCTGAGGCGCTGCGTCCGTTCAGATCGCTTCTTGCGAATAGGATTTGTCGATGTGGGGGTAGAGTGATTTAGCGACCGCTCAAGCGGAGGATCTTGGTCCTCAACCAGAGGATAAACTCCTGCCAGTAGTTCTGAGTCCTCCTCTTGGGTCCGCTAGACCGGCGACGGGTCTGCTCGAACTTGACATGATCCACAGGGTTGGCGACGAAAGCCGGAGGAGCAGCCTGGTCAGTTGGCGTGCTCTCGTACTTGCGACTGGCGAACCCAAGACCATGCTTCTCAGACATCTCCGGTTGCGAGTTTTCGCCGCTAGTAGGGTTGGTGGCCGGGCCAATGGTAGAAGACCGATCCCAGAATGAGGAAGCAGTGACATCGCCCTTGGAGCGGCTGGTCTTTGAAGAGCCACCGCTGCCGTTCTTGGTGAAGCTGAATCCAGAAGCTGTCCTGGTAGGGCCGGTGATCGATGCGATGCTGGTAGCGGTGGCCTTGCGGGACATAGAGGGCCTGGGAATATCACTGAGACTGCTCTGTCTCGCAGACTCCTTCTCAATGCGGCTCGCTTCCTTGGTGTCCTTGCGCTCGCGCTTCTTGATCAGTTCACGATCATGCTTTTCCTGGTTGGCCCTCTCCTTCTCCTCGAACTTGCGGCGCGCGTTGCGGATCTTCTCGAGGCGGGCAGCTGAGTCGATCTCGGTGGAACGGCTGCGAAGACGAGGGAAGCCCGAGGTGATATCGAGCGAAGTGCGTAGCGGAGACATTGGGGTACCAGTGGAGGATGTCGGTGAAACAACAGTGGGCTGCCTCTGAATGGAGGAGACAACATCACCCACAACGCCGGTAGGAGAGTCGTTCTGGTCAAGCTGTGCGTCAGGGCGGGAAGAGACAGCCGTGGGGGTTGATCGGCTAGTGTTGATGCGGAGGGCCTTGGAGGCAGAGTTGGCGTCGGAATAGGAATTGGCGCGAGAGCTGGCAATAGACGGTCTTTGGCGCAAGATGTTGGTAGTGTTGGACCTGACGGGAGGAGGAGGCGACTGCATAGGGTGACTTGTTGGCTGTGGCTGGACTTGCTGTGAATCAGTGGCCGTCTCGTCTTCAGTTTCTGCGATGGTAGGCGAGTAACGACCGTTGTCGAAAGAGGAGAGTGAAGGGGCATATGACAGCGGCGGGGTAGCTGTACGCGGCGTCTGTTGGAAAGGATGATAAAAGGCTCGGGAGCCACTGCCAGACGATGTTTGCGAAGCAGAGCGAGTGTGCTGGTACTTGACACGAACGCTGTTTCCAGTAGCACCCAAGTCGGCGACACTGTCCTCATCCGCCTTTGCGGCTACAACACCTCCGGCGTACCCAAAGCTGACATCCTTTGCGGACCTGTAGTTGACGCTGTTCCTGTTGTTGCCGTTGTCGATATCGAGCTGGTCCACCGGCTGCTCATCCCATCCGCGGTTCAAATCCAACGAGTTCTTTGGCGACGATGACAACTTTTTGAGGATGGGCTTGACGACCTTTGCGCCTCGGGTCTTTGTGAGTTTGTTGGGGCCGGCACCCGTGAGGGAAAAGGACGTCATGGTTACGGAGTAGTAGTTGTGGGACTTTGGGATCCTGAGGGGACTAGCCGCGGAAGCCGGCGCGGGGCAGGATAGGTATTATAAAAGTTGGGATGATATTGAAAGAAACTTGAGATTGAAGGAGCTCTTTGAAGAGTAGGTAGGAGGGGGTAGAGATAAGATCGCACCGGGCCACCGAATATCCTGTCCAACCAACCGTAGCTTCCGACGACGATGGCTTCTTGGAGGGGAGGGCGGCGATGGAAATATAAACGAGGAAATTGGCCCTTGTCTGGGACCACTTGCAATTTGGGAGCGCGGTGGTGGTCCCCAGCAGGTCCCCAGCGGTGCGGTGGACGCGGTGGACAGGACCTAGTCCGCTTTGGAAGTCCGCTCTGGAAGCCACCCCTTGGCCCCTTGTCTGGTGCAAAGAACCAGAGTCCCTGTCGGTTTTGTTCTCCCCGGGGCCTGTCTGGTGGAAAGCGAGTGGAAAGATGGTGAAAGTGGAAAGGTTCGAAGCGCAAGTTATTGCCCGCCGGCCGGGTCCCTTGTCAGGCGCGCGTCAGGGGAGCCGCGAGCGGGGGGTGCAGCATATGATAGACTCGAGTTAAGCAACACCCGCAACTTGAGGGATTTTCATTAACGAGACACTAGCACACATGACGGGGCGGGGGAGACGAGACCGCCAGTTTGGATGCAGCGGGACTCCGCAGACGCCGCAGTAGCGAGTGGTTAGCGAGAAAGGAAAAGACGACGAAGACTCCTTCCGCCTTTTCGAAGGTGGTATCTCGGTGGTATGAGATGCAGCACCAGACGCTCGATGGAAAAGGCGGAGGAGGGGTAAACTCGACGATAATTCCACTTTGGATGGCGAGGAGGGGGATCGGTGACAAAGAAGCTAGGGCTGTTCAGACTTTGTGTCCTGTATCACCATTTCATGAGAAAAGGAAAAAATACCTTGAGATGTACTCTGGCTGGCAGAGTGGTAGCGGATCGGAGAGGTGCTTGATATGCAAGCACAAGGCCATCAATAAAATGAGGGTTTATGCAGCCACAGCTCGAGTTCCAATGGCAATGCCCAGACGCCCTGCCCAGACAAGATTCAGTTCCAGTTCCAGTTTTCTGGGCTGTCTCGCTCTGCAATTTCATTTCGCCTGCGAAACCCGTGCCGTTCTCAGTGGTGGCTTCCCTTTTTCTCAATTCTCGCAGCACGGGCTGAAAGGAGATCTGCGCGCTCAAGTGACGAGATTGCTCTCCTGGAATTCTTTCCAACTTTAGATTTTACCATAGCTTTTGGTTTTTGTTTTCTCCTTTTCGCCTTTCGCTTCTCAGGCATCATCATCACCATAATCACCAATTGAGGAGCCCAAGGTGGAATCCCACTTTTGTGTATGCTGCACATCTCTACTTACAGTAGTACACTGCACTAGAGCGCGCGCACTCGCAGTCCATGCAGGACATCCGACTAGAAAAGTTGACGACTTTGAACGGCGCCGCTCAATGGGGTCGGCCGATAACGAGGCCGGCTTCTGATTGATTGATTCAGCCTCATTCCTCAATTCCAAAACCCTTCTGCTGCTGCCAGTAATGAAGCTGCAGCGTCGTGATGCCAGTCACCGCACCAAAGCAGCACCAAAACAGCAGCAAAGTACCCGTCAACCCACCAGTGCTTCTCGTTCTGTGTGGGGAGAAGAGGGTAGAGGACCCCCCAAAATGGACCCTCTTCCCCAAGCTGCATTAGGCTGGGAGAAGTGGGAAGAGTGGATACGCACGCTTAAGTGTTAGTCGTAAGCAGGCCGCATAAGCCAAATGCTTAACAAAATGTCTTGACCGCCTTCAGACCGCCTTCACGCTTACTGCTGCACCAGCTGCACTGCTTGCAGACCGTAGAAAACTCTGCGAGCCTGGTCCAGCCACCGGCCAATCGATGCGACATGATGTTTGACGGCTTTCCGGCCGCCTGTTGGTTCTGGATTCCGGGCCGTCGCCGCCCGTACGGAATGCTGGTCTGTTGTTGGCTGTTTGTGGTTTTGGAGAACGACACCGACTCTCGAGGCCTGGAACATGAGAGGTTTTGTCACATATCGCACATATCAATCAGAACATTGCTCAGACCACGCTATCTGGTCTGACCGACGGGCAATGATATCCATCCGTCATAGGTAGGTATCATATCTAGGAACCCATGTCCCACTCTGCAGGACGAGGCCATGGGAATCGCACCCGGCATCATCGTCGTCGATGTACCGCATCGGCCAAGGCATGCAGGCATTGGTCAACATTGTTTCAGTCTCTCTTATCGCGTTTCACGCCTCAAGTTCCTCATGGCAACAACAACAAAAACAACAAACAAATAATGGCAGCCATGACAGCAATCCATGGTGAGGATCGAGGACGCACAGGCCACCTCTTGGCTTGTGGTCCATGTCCCCTTTCCCTCTTCCATCATTTGTCCGCCAGCCAGTTCATGCCATGCATGACCTTTGTGAACGAACAAATGGCTCGGCCGGCACAATTCGCAAACATGCTTCGGCCAATTTGGTTCCTCCAAAATCCATTCCATCTTTCAGACATCACCACCAGAGACAAATCACCAGCAACCCCGACCACACTGCCGGGCTTTCGGCTGGCCCAGGGTTCCATTCCGTGGCCCAGGCGCTCAGTAGCGTCCACGATAGCGCGCAACCACCGCTGCGAGAAGTGGGAACTGGACTCTCCCACTGGAGCAGACCGGCAAGTCCTTCAGCAACCCGTTGGTGCTCCTCTAACCAAATCCTGCCCGGTACGGTTCCGCGACGCCGAGGGGGGCAAAACATGAGCATGGGATGCTCGAGGAGCGGTGACCAGCACAACCAGAAACGATACAGAAAACCGTGGATCGTAAACCGCCCGGAGAAACTCGAGAGCGACCTATAAGTGGCGGACTACCAGCATGAAACGTAAAAAGACTGCATCGTCGATGCAACTATCACCTGCTGCTGGGTAGGGCTAGAACTAAACTCGAAACTACGGTATGTATAATGGCAAGTGAATTGCATAATGGTCATGTTCTTGCTCACACCAATGTACGAACAACGGCAGCAAAACAACTGGCCGCCCAAACAAAGAAGCTACCGGAGTCCGGAATTCAGATGCCCCCTCTTCGTTTAATTAACTTGTTGCTTCACAGCCTCAGTGGGTTATATGAACTGGATCGCTTCCCTGGGTATCCGGGAGTTCGGGTCTCTCTATTTCTGACCTCCTCTTGTCTGAGTCGGGTCAAGCCGAAGAAATCTCATGATAGGGGATGTGTCGACTGAACGGCGACCGCGAACGGCCCGGGGCTACAACAGACAGATGGATTCACAACGGATATTCAGGGACGGACAGAGTGGGAGAGCTTCCAGAAACAGGGGTCTCATCGCTCCACCAACTCAAATGAATTTGGGTCCTTGACTCAGCAGACGAACGATGCCAGAGTCCGTCGAACGTTTCGCACATCCAGTAAACACCACACAGTCTCTTCAGCACGTCGAGGAACCACAGAGCCACAGCACCTTCCCAAACCGGCTCAAGGCGCCCTCGCTCACCAACCACAACTCTGGATTTTCCATCTCCACTGTCAGGCTTCAACCAGTCCCAGGTATTGAAGACAGGAACCACTCAGAGAGGCTGGCTCGCCAGGGGCCATCCACTCACCGACCTGTTGACATGCAGTTCATGGCCTGCAGCGTTGCTCGCTCCCAGTTGCTGCTGCAATTGCGCAAATCCCGCGTTGTCGGTCGGGGAGGTCGGGGTCGGTCAGTCGGCCGGGTTACAGTCCCCGGGCTCACCTACGGAGTTTGTGCACAGAATGCTTTGCGGTCTGTGTACCTTCATCAACAGCTCTCATTCGTCCGGCCTCTTCCCTTCTCTTTTGCTTCTTTTCCTTCCAAGTCCCACACTTCCTCCACAGGTCAAGGGTCAGACCGACTTCTGGGAGTCGTGCACGGGTTCGCTTCCCGTTAGCTTTGGTGCCTTTTGGTGGTGGCTCTGAAGGTTCTCGTTCGATTCGGTTCGTCTCTCTGCTGTTGAGAACACTGCTGATGACAAAAACACAATTGCCCTTGTGCAGCCAGCAAGCGACGGCGATGGCGATGAGAAGGGTAGACGAGAGACACTACACTACGCAAGGTACATAAAACTCCACACCAAAAGGTCTACCGAGTACACGGAAGAAAGAGGATCAGCAAGAATTCTCTTTCGTCCCTGGGTTCTCTAGCTCCAGCAGATTTTTGAAAAAAAAAAAAAAAAAAAGAAAAAAAAAAAAAAAAAAAAAAAAATTAGCCTCCCTCGCTGTTTTTGTGTGTGTGTGTGTTTCTATTCACGGCCTCGCTTGAAGCACAAGCGAAAGCAAACCCGTGGGTATGTTCATGAGGAACGGCGGAGCAAGTGGTGGATGCGGTTAATTAAACTCGACGTGATGCGCTGTGGATAAGCCCTTTCCATATCCGTCAATTTTTCGGTTTCTTTCCAGCTCTTGTCGTCGCAAAATGTTAGTAGTGGTGCACGGCCGCACCACCACGCGATTGAACTTTCACGGCTCCAGCATTTGGCGTTCGCAGCGGGATCCTCGAAAAATTGTCCAAAAGTGCCCAAAGTGCCCCAAGACTAATTTCATCTACCTAGCTGAAAGTCCTGTCCCATGACTTGCGGCTCAACATGTGCCGTGTCTGGTGATGTGCTCTGATCAGGTCACGGGATCGAGATCAGTGGATGTTGGCCAAGCTCTCCACGAGTTGCTAGGACCTCACGGGGCACCTTGGTTGCAAATCATTCTGTTAGTGACCAGATGCCCACATGGGTTTGATAATAGCCGGTATTACTACTGTTATATAAAAAAGGCTTCGAGCACTAACACATTGTTAACACCAACTGAGCACAACCACAGATGAGGTAACACCAAGACTAAAGCTGAAATTGGGATCTACCTCCTCCGTACGTCAGTGACGCCCTATTCACACACATTTCACGACCAAAGTTGGCCATATTGTTGTCGATAT